AAAAAAAAAAAAAAAAAAGAGGAAAGAGGAAGAACAAAGAACAGACTGGACAAATAGAAAACAAACAGCAAGATGACAGATTCCGTCACACCATATCCATAAACTCATTCAGTGTACACGGTCTTCTCAATCCAAAGGAAAACATAAGACCCAATTATATGCTGCCCCCAAAAAATACACTTCAAATATAAAGACAAATAAGTTCAATAAGAGTACAAGGATGGAAAAATGCCCCACATTAATATTAATCAAAAGAAAGCTGGAATAGCTTTATTAATATTAAAGTAGATTTTGGAGCAAAGCATTACAAAGGATAAAAAGATCATTTCATAAGAAGAGGCTCAAAGAGGGCCTAACAGCCCGGAACGTTTACGCACCTAAAAACACAGCCTCAAAGTACACAATGTAAAAACTGATAGCACTGTTTAGAAAAATGGACCAGTCCACAATCACAGGTATAGTTTTCCATATCCCTTGCTCAATGACAAACAGAAAGAACAAGTGACCGGGCATGGTGGTTCACGCCTGCAATCCCAGTACTCTGGCAGGCCAAGGCAGGTGGATCATCTGAGGTCAGGAGATCGAGACCAGTCTGGCCAACATGAAGAGACCCCGTCTCTACTAAAAATACAAAAATGAGCTGGGCATGGTGGCACACCTGTAATCCTAGGTACTTGGGAGGCTAAGGCAGGAGAATTGCTTGAACCCAGGAGACAGAGGTTGCAGTGAGCAGAGATCACACCACTGCACTCCAGCCTGGGCGACAGGGTGAGACTCTGTCTCATAAAAGAAAAGAAAGAAAGAAAAAAAAGAACAAGTGGACATAAACCAAACACTCATGCGCAGAATGTTCCTTCCATTCCAAGTAAGCTCTCCCACAGAATGCCGGTGAAGACATCTCTGCCTGCAGCACTCAACAAGCCTCTTCGGACAATGATCACTGAAAACCATGACTAAGTCTCATCGTTGCTAATTTCATGACTGACAAACGCTTCCCCACAGAGAATATGGCCACTGCTCTGAGACGGACATTTGAATTCTAATTCCTTCTGGTCCACTAAAAATTCTTACAACTCAGCCAAATCTCAACTTTCCTTGACCTTAGTTATATTATTATACTTACACGATGAGGGGGGCTGGGCAAGGTTACTTCTAAAATCCTTTGCTATGGTCTGAATGTTTGTGTCTCTCCCACCCCCGATTCATATGCTGCAAACTAAGCCACAATGTGATGCTTTTTGAGGGTGAAACCTTTGGGAAACCATTAGGCATGAGGGCAGAGCCTTCAAGATTGACATCGTACCCTTATAAACGGCCCCTGAGAGCTCCCTTGCCCATTCCACCATATGAGGATACAGCAAAATACAAACAAACACAAAAATAAAAGATTAAAAAAACAATTTAAGTTCTATGAACCAGGAAGCCAGCTTTCACCAGACAATCAAGTCTGCTGATGTCTTGATCTTGGACTTCTCAGCCTCTGCAACTGTGAAAAATAAACTTCTGTTGCTGATAAGGTACCCAGTCTATGGTATTCTGTTATAGCAGTCTGAAGGGATTGGAAGACATCCTTCCAGCTTTCGTGTTCGAACCTGAACTATGCCATCAATTGTCACCACCTCAGGAATATTAAATCAAGCCAGGGCTTGCACTGTGAGTCCCTGGGAACACTGTCTGGCTGCTCTGGGGAAGTGTGAGTGTCCACTGTGCAGAGATGGCCCTGTGGAGGCAGCTGCCCTGTGACCCTTTGACTTTCAAGATGGAATGGACAAGGGTTGAACCTGTGAATAACAGTGCTCAAGGCATTTCTTCTCATGGTTTCCAGTTCCCAGTCCCCACCCTTACTGTCTGTGCTGTGACCTGAAGTGGGAACTCGACCGCAGGGAGACCTACCCGAGGAGGAACGGCCTGCAGAGCGGTGATGTAGTTCTCCAGGGCCAGGCGGCGGCGGTCATTGAGCATGGCTTCCACTCTGGCCATGTGTGTCTCCACCAGCTGCTGTCTCTCGTTGGCTGCTTCCTGTTCCAAAGATTCCACTTTCTCCTGGAAATGCTGCCATCATAAACACATATGTCCATGGGGACTGAACAAGTAGGATGAAGCAGCAATTTCAAGTCTTCTAAAAAAGACATCCTATTCCATTTTCTTCTAGTGCTAAAAAGTATCCTAAAGACTGCATAGTCATTCCACATTTTGACTAACTCTGCATGTTTTATAGGTTACGTCACTTTTCTGCACTCTCCAATCCACATCAAACCTACTTTTTCATTGAAAATCAGTATTTCATAGGCTCTCTGAAGACTGATTTGACTAATAATAACATTGGATGCACTCTTGAAACTCTTATATTAAAAAAAATTCCTCTCTTACTAAAAGTACCTCAAGTAATTGATCATAACAAACTCTTGGTTTACTTAAGGTAATTTTGAGACTGGTTTAAGTCAAAAATTCAAATTCTCATAATTTTTGTAGGAGAGAAGCAGCAGAAGATTGTGGTGACTGAAAAGATGTATTGTTAATAAAAAGTAGATTGCAAGTTACAATGTGAGTTTTATGGCAATGAATTATAACTTGAAATAATTGGGAGCAGATATAAGGCAGGATTTAAGCAACTCAATTACTAGACAATGACTAAGAACAGTTCAAGTTCATGGGACTATGAACAATCACGCCTGAGGTGCTGGCAGATGCAGGTAAACCTGCAGACACTCACTAAACAGACTGCTGGCATGTGATGTTTGGTAGGAAATGGGTTCAGATTTTACCTGGATAACTGCCTTCTTATCAGCTTTAGGCAAGTTCTTTGCCTGACGTTCTGCCTCTTCCCATTCTCTCATGACCTATAAATTAAGAAAACATTTGAGTTTAAAATCATCAGTTCATCCTTTGAATACAGACTTAATAGGATGGATGATTGTCTTTCTTCTATTTTTGTCATTTTAGATATTTAAAAAATGTATTACATACCCATTCCTATCTGAATAATATGTGACCTCCCACTAGGATATATACATAATTAATCACAGCAGTGTATTAAACATAAATGTTCACATTTACTGCAGGAATATAGCCTTTTGAGTCAAGGTTGGTCTTTTTTTCCCTAGAACTGAGTGACAGTCATTTTATTTGATGTGAACAAACACCAACTATTCATAGAAGGCATACACTAACTGAACAAGGTCTTCCAATATTTAACTGAAACATGTAAGTTTTACTCTCTTATGAAAGCGACTGAAACCATTTTAAACTATATATTTTGACTTTAAAAGAAAATATGACATTTTATGTGTGTGTGTGTGTGTGTCTGTGTGTGTATGTGTGTGTGTGATGAATACAATGCCAAAGAGAAGTATATAATGGCGGAGAAAAAGACGACTTCTGCTGTCTGATATCCTAAGACCTATCCCTCTTTAAAGAACTGATGGGGAATTAAGGCCCTTTAAGCTTGCCGACCTAAGTCATGAACAGCAAGGATTACTCTAAGTCCTTCCAAAAACTCCAGGAAAACATATAATATTCTGAATGCAGAAAAAATGTATTTTTTAACAAATAGCACTAATTTAGTAACCAATTGCTATGGTTTGAATGTATCCCCTAAAAAGCATGTGTTGGAAACTTAATCCCCAATGCAACAATGTTGAGAGGTGATTCAGTCTCTGTCCTCATGAGTAAATTAGTTTCATTATGGGGAGAGTGGGTTTGTTATTGTGAGAAGTGGGTTGTTATAAAACTGAGTTTTGCCCTCCTCTCACCCTTCTTCCTTCCACCATAAATGATATAGCATGAAGGTCCTCAACAGATGCCAGCACCATGCTCTTGGACTTCCCCACTTGCAGAACTGAAAGCCGAATTTTAAACTTCTTTTTCTTTACAGATTATCCAGGCTGGGGTATTCTATCATAGCAACACAAACTGACTAAGATATCAGGTGAATGTGTTTTGTAGGAAATCAATGCTTCCTGCATGGATTTCCCTGAGTGAAGTGCACTCATTAACCTGATAAAAAAAGTAAAAGACTGTACCTCTGTATGTTGTTCAAGGAAAATATTAACTTCCTACCACCTAGAGTTGCCTTTTCAAGTGTATGACAAGTAGCATTTGTTTAAAGTGCAACTCATAACTGAGCTAGGTAAAATGAAGAAAGAAAGATCAAGGAAAAAAAAATTGGCTTGGTGCCAGATGTGTACTTGCATACTCTGTGTACTCCCAAAGTATGAGGAAACTTGATTACTGTATTATAAGAGCCTGTTATTTGTAGGTATTTAGCCCTAAGGAATAGACTCTTCTGACATACTTCAAGACAGGAAAGAAAAAGAGGCTTGGAATAAATAACTACAGATAGAAGACTTCTATGAGACAATACCACATCAAATCACCATGTGGGTTCCTAATTACAGATTTTATTGTCTATTGATAATAATTCTTTGTATATGATAGGCAATTAGCTTCTTCTTGTTGTTTTAGTAAAACTATGGAGAAAACAAGATGGAATAAATATTCCATTATACTTAAAAAGCATATAAAAAATAATCTCAAGGTTCACAGCAAAATTGGGACAAATGCCCTGCTGCAATGAACAAGAATAGAACATGGAAGAAAAGAAACATACTGTCCCATCTGCTTTGGTGCTTCTACCAAGTTAATAAAGGGAACCTGTGGGCAAGGGGGACATGGAAGACCATCTTTGCTTTATAGATGAGATAAGCCTTGCAATATAAATATTTCAATTTCCTGCTTTGGGAATGTTCACAGTGGTGGTACTCTACCCACAATTCTTCAAGCAAGGATCTCAAAATTAGTTTGAGATAGAAGTTCAATGCTCTACTGCAATGTGAAAACTGATTTCCCATATTACATTTACATTTTTTCCATTTTTACCTTGTACACTCAGAACCTGGACTTTAAGCTTTAAGCTGGAGGAATCCATATAATTAAAGAGATTTATTTAGCTAATGAGTTGCAAATAAGCGTTACTATAAAAATTAACTCAAATTTTGATTTTCAGAACAATTTAAAAGTATCCTATACCCCCACAAATAAATAAATCACCTGCACCATCCCACTAAGACTCTACTGCAAATGAATACTCACTATATGTAGGCTGAGCATCTCCCTATCAACAGTGAATTTCACTGTGGAACTGTGAACAAATAGCATTACTGCTGACCCTGTGTTAAGTGCTTTACAACATCTATCTAATTTAATTGATTCCTCACAACAGCTTGTGACTAGCCAGGGCAGTCCCATTTTATGAACCAGGTTAAGGTACCAGCTCAAGACTACGCAGGTAAAAAAGGGAGAGGAAAGAATATAAACCAAGATCTATGTGGTTCTAAAGATCATGTTTTTGTACCTTATGGTACCCAATTTTCCATTATAAAATAAAAAATTCACTAGGTGAGCTAAGTTTATTTACATTTAGTGACAGGAGAAAGGGGCACTCTTAAAATGTTGCTGCTTATCTTAAAAATAAAAACCTAGGCTGGGCACAGTGGCTCATGCCTGTAATCCCAGCATTTTGGGAGGCCGAGGTGGGCGAATCACAAGGTCAGGAGATCGAGACCATCCTGGCCAACAATGGTGAAACCATGTCTCTACTAAAAATACAAAAATTAGCTGGGCATGGTGGCATGTGCCTGTAATCCCAGCTACTGGGGAGGCTGAGGCAGGAGAATCGCTCGAACCAGGGAGTTGGAGGTTGCAGTGAGTCTAGATTGTACCACCGCACTCCAGCCCGGTGACAGAGCAAGACTCCATTAAGGAAAGAAGGCAGGGAGGGAGGGAGGAAGGAAGGAAGGAAGGAAGGAAGGAAGGAAGGAAGGAAGGAAGGAAGGAAGGAACTATGAGTTGAGTCAGCTTTCAATTTGAAGGACTTCATTTTAAGCATATACTAAAAGTAGTAAGTTTATAAGTAATAAAAGTGCTCACACATGGTTCAGTTGCTGATTTCTACTGACTAGATGCTAGTCACGACATAGAGCAACAAAAATCTACAGGTTTAGAGTTATATGAAATATGAAATATTTCATATAAAATATGAAAAACTGAAATTTGAAAAATATGAAAATATGAAAAATTCCAAAATCCTCTGTATTTATAAGAAAACATATAACAAAAACTACAATAAAACTTATTTAAAAAACTGCACAATTTTTAAAATTTAAAATTCTCAGGACCTGGCCCTTGCAGTGCCTCTATAGATTCTTACAAAGCAATTTTCCACTGCAGGCACAAAGGTATCAATTTCATTTGGATTGATGGATCTTCAAAGACTTGGCTGTTCCATGCAGAGAAAATGACTGCTACCTAGTAGAGATTTAAGAGGCAGGCAAGTTTGAAGTCGAAAAGTCCCTAGATTTCAGCACCACAGATTATCAGATACATACTAATTTCAGGTGTCTCATATGCCTGTGACCACTGGAATCTAGTAGACAACATTCTCTGCTCTGGGATAACATCTCTTAGGTTATATCAGATATATCTGATGACTAAAAGATGAACAAAATCTACCAAAACTCATATGAACTAAGTCACAAGTTAAATAGATGTGCTAAAAGAAAAGTTGAATTATTATTTTATCAAAGACCTGTCATATCTAAAACTAATAGAGAATTTGAAATACGTTTTCTTAATAAGATCAAAAATGACCAAGTTATACTAGGATAAATAAACCAGGATTAAAAAACCACAAAATTTTAAAAAAATGACTAAGTGGGTCCAAGATAAATGCAAGGTTAGTAAGACTTACATGAACTTAGAGGTACTAAAAGGAGTTTACAATCCAGCTGGAAAGATAACGCAGGTGTGTCAAAAAATCACTAATAAAATCGGAGAGCAAATATTTAGAATTAAATGAAAGGTAAGGGCAATGACTGTCTGTCTCATTCTGAGTATGAAGTGGGGTGTAAGGAATGGGTGAGATGTGCCAATGTGAAGAAGGGTGGGGGGGCATTTCCAGGAGAAGTCAATGCTGAGGACAAAGGGAAGTCCAAGATGAGATGAGCAGATGGTGAGCAGAGTGGCGTGATCAGAACAGCAGTTTAACGCTGTACAGAAGGCAAGGGTAGCAGTTGAGAAGAAAGAGGTGGTAGGAAGACCAGAGTCAGGGTACAGCGGTAGGCGCTGAAAATGACAAGCTGAGCATTCGGTGTTTATTTTTGTCATTGTTCTTTCTTTTAAGACTTCATGTGCCCAGAAGTGGATTTGTGAGGGCACAGGAAGCCTCTGAAAGCTTCATAAAGAAGGGAGATAGGAGGACATTTCAGTGGCAATAAGTATGATTCATAGTCCTCCAATGCTTTCGGGACAGTGCCTATGTCTTTCCTAATGAAAAATCTGATTTTTTTGGCATCAGGTGAAAACTCACTAATTCCCTGTGGTTAGCTTTCTAGTTCAATTCGCTGCTAGGTTTTCATCACGGGCAACCACTAGAACTGCACATTATATTCCAGAGCCAAAAGTATAGTGATTATAAGGCGTTTTCCCTCTTTATGTTATTATACCAAAGTAGATCCAAGTATTGTTACTCATCTGAAGGCAAAACAAACCAACAAAAAAACAAAACAAACCAAAAAACAGTATCTGTGTTGTACCTTTCTAGATACATTATTAGTTATATGTTTTCAAGTGTAGGTTTTCTTATTATTCAGGTGAGGCCAAGAGATCAGGAGATGATTATCATGGAAAAGACAGTTTGTTACTCACAGCTCCCAAGAAGCCAGTATATGCCACTACAAGCAGGCTCATACGGGAAGCATCAGGGTTGGTCAGGAGGGGAACACATGAACAACAGCTCTCTGTGGTTTTCATGGAAAGAATGCGTGAAGCAGGGTAGGCACGTTTAGGACTGACTAGTTCAAATAATGGTGATGGGGCATGAGGTTGTCCCTAGTGGCCTGGTACCTGGCCCTGGGGTGATTACAGCAGGTGTATAGTGGCCCAGAGTATAAGAGGTAAGTAAAGAATATGGTTGGGAGTTAGGAGCGTTTGACTGATTGGTTTGCATGTGCAAGACATGCTCAGAGGCCATTCATTTGGCCCTGGCAGGGAGGAATCTTCTGGGGTCAACAGCGACCCAGATCAGAAATTACAGGAAAGCAAGATTAATTGTCTACTAAAGACTGACTATGGTCTTAGAAAATATGCAGCAGTTTCATTCATAAATTGCATTTAATGTCTCTCAACAGACTTTTTAAGTATCTAAGTATGACAAAAATTTCTCCTATCTTCTGATATTTGCCACAGAATATTAACACTAAAAATGAATGGCTTACTTTAACCTGAGATCTTTATTCATTCACTTATATGTCCTACTTTTTTTTTTTTTTTTTTCCCACATTCACTCCTAGGTTTGTAGACTACAAATCGAAAAAGTGACTAGAAAATAATATGCCCATATTTGTTGATTGAATGAATGAATGAATGAATGAATGAGGAATCTGAGCAAGGGCTAAAATTCTCTGTATTATCAAACTCCAATACAACATCCAGTGCCTGGTAGTAGACATAGCTTAAATTGTAGTTGATAGTATAGATAGTATATATGGATTAGCCATGTTTTACACACAAGTTATTTTTCAATTTGCTTAATTAAGGATCTGCTAAAAAAAAAAAAAAATACCAAACCAAACCAAACCACGTTTTTTTTTTTTTTTTTCCCAGCAAAGTATAGTGAAAGCAGTACCGTACTACGAGCAAGAAAGGCCTGGATTCTAAATGTTGTCTCTGGCTCACTGATTTTGCTTTGTGCTAAAATGGGAAGCCACTCTTTGAACCTCTATTCCACTGTGTATCACTTAGGAGACTAGATGAAATAATCACTATGGTTCAGCTCAGTTTTAAGTCTCTATGATTCTGTAGACTGTAAACAATGGTAGGTTCACAATTATAACAGTCTGGGATTTAATACAGAAACTCATCTTTACTTAAGAGAAAAATGCTCTTAGATGGATTTTAATTTACAATATGTTGATTACAGGTACTACATATATACAGAATAATAATGCCAAGTACCTTTCTTCACCAGAGAGAACGTTATGGACATCATTTAATTTGTGCTTACAAAATCCAACTATACTTGGATCCTTCTTAGGCAGCATGTTCATGGAGAATGCAAAAAACTCACAAACTGTGCCCACACAGTAAACATTTAAAATTAGAACTCTGCATCTTTAAAGATCTTGATAAAGCCAGCAGGCCCGTGGGGGAGACTGAGGTTTCCTGATATCGTAGGGCTGAATGATGGAAGTGCCAGACTTACCTGGGACATTCTCTCTCGGTGCTTGGCCTCAAGTCTCTCTTTGGCTTTCTGGAAATGGGCGTGTTCATTCTCATCCCCAGGTGTCTCAAGGTACTTGTCAACGGCATCAGGGGTACTGGCTGCTGTTGTAGGAACTATAAAGTAGAAGAGAAGGAGGTTTGAGGAAAAAAACAAACAAACAAAAAAACCACCAACAACAGAATATCCACTCGTTTAAAAGAAAGCCATATTTTCAGTTATTTCTCGGAACAGAGAATTTAGTAAAGCAGCGCATACAAGACGTTAATGCTGTTTAAGAGAACACCATGAGACACTGTGCAGCACAGTAAGGATGTGTTTCATCATTCCCAAGTACAGAATGGAGGAAAAATCTTTAAAATGGTCCACTTTGCAATATAGCATTAGAGTTCTTTACGAAACAAGCATGCAAAGAGCAAAAACAGTTGGTGCTGGATAGACATGTTTTTCCAAATCCCCATGCTTTCCTGAATTCATATTTTGCAATTTTGAAAGTAAATGATGATATCATCAATATCATACATTCAGACTCCTGCAGAAACCAAAGATAACTATAATTAGCCTGTTGTAGAATAACTGCACCCCAGAGAAAAGTAAATTGTATGATGTATTTTAGATAACTTAACTACAAAGACAACCTTCATGAGACAGTATGTGAAACTCCACACACACAAAAAATCAATAAACACATTTTTGAATCACAAAAGGACCTTTCTGCCTTCACAAATTTGACACGAGTCAATGAATTCATTATGCCAGTTGTCAAAAAGTGATTTCTATTTTGAATTCAACCAATACTGCTAAGCAATATTTGAATTGCAACATACACTGCTATATTATGTGAAAACATAAATACCTATAAAATTCAAGAGTACACTATAAAACAAAAATGTCTTAACTCATGAGCCAAGTGAATTATAATACCTATAGAAGCAATTTTCCAAAAGATTAGTAATGACTAGTGAGAATTCAGAGTATTTATGAGCTTAAAAGAAAAAAGGATTTTGACTTAAGAAGAAGCATATTTAACATAAAAAATGAAATGAGATGTTTTCACTATCTTTTTAGGTCAAATCCATTGTTTCATTCAAAAGGTTATTCAAATATCACCAATGTTCCAAGTATTCCTATCAAATTATTAATACTTGTGTATTACATTTGGGATATAATACCTCAAAGGGGACTTGAATGAGAAGAATTTATAACTAAGTCATTTTGAAACTAAACTTGAAGTTAAATACGTTTTCTACATCCTTCAAGAAAATGTCTGGAATCTTAATCCAAAGTCTTCAAAGATATTAACTAAAACCGGAAGGCTGTTCAATAATTAAACAGTATCTTTCATTTTAAAGAGCAACATTCGTTTTGATTTTTTCCCTTCACTTCAATCCTGATTAATAATCATTTTTCAAAAAATATAAGCAGTTGAGTGTCTATCCAGATGTTGCTTTCAAGCGGAAGGAAGGAGGCAGGGCATATTCCTGGTGCCTTTACACAGCTGCCCCTATCTTCTCTGTAGCAAATGAGGGAGTGGTGTTCCTTCTCACATCGGCAGCAACAGTGAGGAGGAAGGAAGGAAAGAGCCATGTGGGGGCTTTGCAATTAAGCACATTTGGATTTGAATTCCATTTCTTTTTCAGATCGGCTGTGACCTGGGGCAGGAAACTTAAGCACTCCATGTTCCAGTTTCTTTATCAAGTGGTGATAACATGCCACACGATATGATAGGAGTGCTGGGAAAATGAGATACCATACCACATGTAAGTCATCTGGCAGACAGGGTGACACGCGGCAGAGCTCATACATATTAGCGGCCTTGCCTCCTCCTCTGCTTATTACATCCTGCTCAAATCTTAGAGCTAATGCTAACCATGGGAAAGTTCTGCTACTTTTATTCAAAGCCACTGAAAATGTTTTGGTAGGAGGGCGCAATAATAAAGAAAGAAAGAAAAAAGAAAAGGACAAATTTAAAAATTGAGGAAAAAAACCCAAAAGAAAATATAAACATTAACAAAAAACAAAATAGAACCACTGAAAATGAATTACACACAGGATCACAGAGTGCAACCTACAGGAAAAGTAATATGTATTTTTCAAAAAATGTTAGGGGTAGCCCACATAAAAAAGGTCGAAAGTATCAAAAATAAGTACATTGTTAATTTGTAAGATCGAAACAATAATTTTGAATATTACATCCTTTTTGAAAAAAAGGTAAATGTTTTTCTCCATTGCTTCAAGCAAACCAGTATGCAAGTAGTTTTTTAACTTAATCATTAAGTCAATGAATCCCAACTTGGAATGAACGTGGTATTTAGCATTCAAAATGTTTCCCCTGCTTCAGTCATTTTCTCATCTTAACTGGTAGAGCTCAAATGAGAACAAGTTAAAGTAAAAGCAGAAAACAAAACAATAACATTATTTTGCATAGCCCAATCTGGCAGAATGACATGTTTAGGCAAACCATATTTTATGTTTGAAACAAATGAAAATGTATAAATATTTGGGGTTATATTCCCTGATGAAGATAGTCATCTGGCTGTAACTGTTATAACCATAACATAAGCACCCCTTTGGAAAACTAGAATCATAAAACTCACTATGTAAGAAGGAAGTTTTTTCAGCTCCTATGGTTTGCAAACACTGTCTACTGTATAAAGGAAAGAAGATAAACACTATAATCTGAATCACTATAATCACACTGGCCTAAGTAGAAATGCACGTAGCAATATAATAAGAGAATAACTATGGAACGTGAATGTGCGGTATGTTTAATACGACTGAGGATATTTAAAAGGATAAAAATCTTCTTTTTAGGCACATGGAAATAAATACGAATACTATACTACCAATTTATTCCACTGAATCCAGAAATACTTCTGTGGTAATTAATTTTCCCTGCCAACTTCATTGGGCTACAGGGTGCCCAGATTAAGCATTGTTTCTGAGTGTGTTTGTGAGGGTGCTTCTGGATGAGATTAGCATTGGAACTGGTGCACTCAGTAAAGTAAATCACCCTCTTCAACATGGGCAGGCATCACCCAATCTGCTGAGGGTCTGAAATCAAAAGGGCAGAGGATGGAGTAGTTCATCCTTTTTATTTCCTGGCTGCCTGAGCCAGGATATTGGTCTTCTCTTGCCCCTGGCCTGAAATGTACACCATTGTCTTCCCTAGTTCTCAAGACTTTAGATTCGGACTAAGTCATACCACCAGCTCTCCTGGGTCTCCAACTTGCAGATAACAGATCATGGAACTTAGCCTCCATAATCGTTGTGTGAGCCAATTCTGCATAATCAATCTCTTCCTATACGTATATATCCTACTGGTCCTGTTTCTCTGGAGAACCCTGAGCAATACAATTTCTCTTCAAGTAAATGTTTGTTAACGGTCCAGTTACTTCCCATAGTTGAGGAAGCTGTGTCTCTTTTAATCTGTAACTCAAATTTTTATTTTTTCAGCCATTCATACAATCTCCCATCTCAATTAGTGTGAAATTATCCTATATTCATATCAACCAGCAAACCAGATTACTGTCTAGTCAAGCGGAGAAGGATAACATATGCTGATATTGTTAAACGAATTTAATAGTTTATGACCTACTGCTCTGCAGCTGCTGAGGAGGAAGGAGAGAGCAATTTTAAGGTGGAGTATGTCCAGAGAGCTCACCTTCTATTTCGTGAATATCCTTATATCCTAAAGAGATTAAATTCATAGGACTGACTACCATTTTGTGATTACGTCCACAGAAGGCCGGAGACACGTGTGCCCTATGTCCTCACCCATCAAGGTACTTCCTTTTGGGAAGGGAGTGGGGCTCAAGGAATGTCAGGATGTCACAGGACGTCACAGGACACAGAGGGAACAGGAAGCTGTCTATCAGCAGGTCACTGATATATTTGAGGTACTTAAAACACAGGTCACTGTCACCACTTAGAAAGTGGAAACAAACTGGCTTTGGGAGGGTTTATTTCTGTTTTGCATTTTTAACTACCACAGAGCAGTTTATCCTGCTCACAGACCTCTGAGGTTCCACAGAACCTCTGATAAAGGCTAGAATTTCGGCCGGGTGCGGTGGCTCATGCCTGTAATCCCAGCACTTTGGGAGGCCAAGGTGGGCGGATCACCTGAGGTTGGAAGTTTGAGACCTGCCTGATTAACACAGAGAAACCCTGTCTCTACTTTAAAAAAAAAAAAAAAAAAAAAAAAAAAAAATTAGCCAGGCTTGGTGGCGCATGCCTGTAGTCCCAGCTACTTGGGAGGCTGAGGCAGGAGAATCACTTGAACCTGGGAGGTGGAGGTTGCAGTGAGCTGAGATCGCGCCACTGCACTCCAGCCTGGGCAACAAGAGCAGAACTCCGTCTCAAAAAACCAACAAACTAACTAACTAACTACAGGCTAGGATTTCCATGTTGGTCAAATGATAACAGCCTCTTTTCATTAGAGTCCTCCATGCTAGGCATCTTCTATGTGTTCTCGTTTAATACATGGGAAGAAAAAATTACCCTATTTTATTGTGTAGAGGCAAAACACTGCCATTAAACATACTTATTCGCATCCCTAAACACACACAAATAAAGTTTCTTAAGATTGGGTAAACCATAAAAAGGCTGTAAAGCTAATTTTAGGGCAGTGAAGGGCTAATCCATCCAGTGCTGGGGCACTGGAAAGGGTTTTTGTTGTTTTGTTTTGTTAATGAGCAACACAACTTGGCTAAACAACATATGCTTTGTTACGATGGCTTGTTTTCTATGAAACAGCTGTTCCTGCCCCAAACACTATCTGGCAAATGACCTTCAACAGAAGTTGGGTCATAAAGCAGGGATCAAGTGAAAAGAGCCCACAGTGCTGGAATACGGAGGATGGAATACGGAGGACGTTCTGGCCTTAGGCCCCTCTGCCAACCTGGTCGCTCATGCCTTCTGCAAGCAAGCTGGCTGGGTATGTTCCCCTTTCCGCGGAAAACGACTTAAAATGAGACAAAACTCAGGGGTCAATATCCTTAGCTCTAGGTTTTGACCTCTAGATGCCTAGTCGTTAGCAGCACTACCAACATCACATGCACAAGCTTTTAACTTTTTAAATGACCTTTGTATTTATTTTATTTTAGTCTCCTAACAC